TCACGACCTACACCGACCCGGGCGAGCATCAGAACCATTACCTGTACCTGGAAGGGAAGTGGGAGAGCGGACGGGAGAGTCTGACCCATGCGAGAGAGACGAGCGGCTACGACGACCACGTCGCGATCAAGTTCTACTCGAACGACGTGAATGTCGTTTTGGGTATGAATGACTCGGAGTACGAGGTCCGCGTTACCCTGGGTGACAGATCGCTCGCTCGCTCTCAGGCAGGGGACGACATCCGGTATGACGCCGAGGGAACAGCTATTTCGTCGTCGACCAAGCCCGCATGTTTAACATCGTCCGGCTCGACGAGTTCGGGACTCACGAACTGAAGATCAGCTCCAATTCCGATGACTTCGAGCTGTTCACGTTCAGCTTCGGACACTACCAGCGGACTCCGAGAGAATTGGCTGGCATAACGGATTGGATCAACACTGCCCCACTGGCCCTGAGCGACCTGCGGGGGAAGGTCGTCCTCGTCGTATTCTTTTCGGTCGCGTGCGACGACTGCATCCAGAACCAGCCATTCACAGAGTCATGGCGGCGGAAGTACGACGGCCATGGGCTGACGGTTGTCGGCGTTCACAACACGACAGCAAATTCGAGTCTCGAGACACACGGCTCGCATAGTCGTCATCTGTCGGCATCGCATGGAATGACCAGGGAATCATATCACGCACCACCACCTCGCCAGCCGCGGCCCAACGCACCGACGCGTGTAGACCGCTGCCGCGGGCCACCCCGCAGCCTCGCGCGCCTTCCGCAACCCTTCTGTGCCCGGCATCTATCTTTTGGACAATCAGAGTTCTATAGTCGCCACACGCTGCTCGGCATCGCCCTTCCGAGGACCGGGTGATACTACGGATGGAGCAGGAGATTAGACACTGGCTGGAAGATGCAGGGAAGGACCGTGTCGGCAGCTCACCGTTCACAACCATCAGAGGAACCATCGCAACCCTACCGACCCGCTGAGACGTTCGACGTTGTGATGACGAGTTACGCGGACCCAAGGGACACTCATCCTAGGCAAGGCACGGACGACCCGTGCAGGGCAGACCCATTCTTCCGACAACAGGAATACTACGACCGAAGAAAGGTAAACGACTTGCTCTGCGTACCGGGACCCACCCGGTGAACACGAGAACCACTACGTGTACGCGCTAACCGTCATGGCTATGCGCGAAGCGACCGAGTGAGCCTAGCATGCACTACTCGAGCGGACACGCTGCCCATCCGAGAACTACGTGGCATTCAAGATGGTCGGGAAGAAAAGCAGCAGCGGCCATCCTGTCAAACGGAGACTCTTCAGTCCAAAGGGTGCGCGTCACAATGGACGACGCCCCCGTGCCGCAGGAAATGGCCGGGGAGGACGTACTGTATGATACCGACGGAGAGAGCTACGCTGCAGCGGTAGGCACCGGCCCGCCGCGTTTACTACCTGACGACCTTGTCCGAGGATGGCAGCCATAGACGTGAAGCGTGGTCGCACTACCGCGGCGCTGCGAAGTCTACACAATCACCTTCGAGGCAAACGCATTCGACGCCGCGAACGTCGTCCCTAAGTAGAGGCAACCAACCGCAGTCGGCGATCATCGCGGCTGTCGCACATGACACTCAGGAGTTACCATGACTATCCTACGAAACCTCTTATCGATCACAGCGCTTGCCCTCGCTCTCGCTTCGTGTGGCCGCAGCAGCAGTGGCAGCAGCAAACGGACGCGAACACAGCCGGTTGAACCGACGGCGACGCCCAGGGCGACAGCTCGACCACGCCTCGCGAGCCAGTGTGGACACCGATAAGGCTCCCCCTCCGCCAACGCCGGTCCCTGATCCGACAGCGACCCCTACCCCTGATCCGCAAGCGGGACCGCAGGGACGAGAGGGCCTGCTTGCGCCCGACCTGGCGGGCATCAGTTCGTTCCTGAACACCGAGCCGTTCACACTGGAGGAACTGCGCGGCGACAAGGTCGTTCTCATCGACTTCTGGACCTATACCTGCGTCAACTGCGTACGCACGCTACCGTTCATCAAGGAGTGGCATGACAAATACAAGGACGCCGGTCTCGTGATCGTCGGCGTACACGCGCCGGAGTTCGAGTTCGAGAAGCTCGAAGCGAACGTCAAGATGGCAGTGGAGGAATGGGGCATCGAGTATCCGGTCGTCCTCGACAACGAACACGAAACATGGAACGCCTTCCTCAACCGGTCGTGGCCCGCCAAATACCTCATCGACAAGGACGGAGTAATCCGACTACACGCACTTCGGCGAGGGCGATATACAGAGACGGAAGATGAGATCCGCGCGGTCTTGGCCGAGCTCAGTGGAAGACGTGGACGGCATTGAACACAGCAACATCCAGGACGCAGACTTCCACCTCGACGCTCTTGCGGAAGACCCCCTGGAAGGACTGACCCGTGAGTTGTACGCCGGGGTGGAGCGTAACTACGGCGCGATTCAGTCCGGCGGCTCCCCGTATGTCCTGCATGAAGAGTACTACCAGGGTCTCGGTCGAGAGGTCGAGTACGAAGACACGGAAGAGGAGCACTACAACCAGTTCATCTACCTGCAGGGCTCGTGGATCAACGAGCTGGAGCACCTCCGTCACGCGCGAGTCACGGAAGATTACGAAGACTACATTTTCGTCAACTTCAAGGCCGCCGAGGTCAACGTCGTGCTGACCGTCGGAGACAGCGACGAACCATACGACGTGCGAGTGCTGGTCGGGGATGAGCCGGTGAAGGAGGAGCAGGCGGGCCTCGATGTCCAGTGGGACGATGAAGGCAACAGCTACATTCGGGTTGAAGAGCCTCGCATGTACCGAGTGATCCAACTCGACGACTTCGAGGGCCACGAACTGAAGCTTAGCTCGAACTCCGACCAGTTCAGGGTATTCGCGTACACGTTCGGGGCCTACGTGGAGGCTCAGCCGCTTCCGTAAGGGCGAGCTGTAGGTCCATTTGACGAATGGTCCAACCGATGGCCCGGCAGTGATCGAATAGCTAGCGATCACTGCCGGGCCGATTTGCGTCCAGCCGGAATTCTCGGTAGGCTGAGCAGGGAAATCGCGGCGCGGAGAAACTCGGCAGATTGAATGTTATCCTCCTCGGAGCCGGACGCGGTGAACGGCTTATGCCCCTTAACCGCCTCGCAGCCCAAGTGCCTTACCGAAGTGGCGGGTACCAGAATTCTCGATTGGACACTGCGCGCGTTCCAAGAAAACGGGTTGGACGAGTTCGTGTTCGTGGGCGGGTATCTCATCGACGTGGTGCGGGACGCCTACCCCGGCTTCGCGTATGTGGAAAACCCGCTTGGCCGACGACTAACATCCTCGCCTCTCTGGTCTGCGCCCGGGAGCACATGGCTGACGGCTTTTACGCGACCTACACCGACACTCTGTATCTCGATGATGCGGTAAAGAGTCTTCACGACTCCCCGCACGACATCACTCTCGTCATGGACACTCGCTGGCGTGACAGGTACGTGTTTCGCAGCATGCACCCGGAGTCGGACGCCGAGAAGATGATCGTGGACGGCGACCGCGTGGTGCAGGTCTCGCGGACAATCGAGCCCGATGAGGCCTCGGGAGAGTATACCGGTGTCCTCAAGATGACAGCCGAGGGCGCATCTCAGTTCCTGGAATTCTACGACGATCTCCGCGCTGAGTTCGGAGATGAGCAGATCATCGCCGACGGCAGGCCCTTCCGCATGGCCTACGTGATTCACCAACTCAACCGGATGATCCAAGCGGGGATTCCGGTACACTGCGTCGCGGTACCCGGTGACTACCATGAGATCGACACCATCCAGGACTATCACCTTGCCACCGCCGACTGGATGCGGTTCGCGACCTGACGTTTTCGTATATGTCAGACAACTGGGGTAGCAAACACACGATGTCATGCCAGGATGACGTATGAGCAAAAGCCTTTTCACGACCACAGTCGTCGGCTCGATGCCACGTCCTCAATACGTGCGAGACCTGATTGAAGAGCAGGTCGATGGCGGCATGCCTTCAGCCGATTTTCGGCGCATGATGGACTCCGCCATACCATACGTGGCGCAGATGCAGGAGCTTGCCGGAATCGACGTGATCTCCGACGGCGAATGGCGCCGAAAATCGTACATCGGCGTGATAGCCGACATCTGCAATGGCTTCGAGCTATCCATCAAGGAGGTGCACGGACAGCGCCAGACCTGGCATGTCGTCACGTCGGAGTTGGAGGTCGTAAACCCCGGACTGCTTGCAACGGAGGCCGGCTTCCTCAAACAGAACACAGACCGGGACGTCAAGGTCGCCATACCGTCGCCATACCTCATAGGCGAGCGGATGTGGGACCACGAGCTGTCTAAGGCAGCGTATCCCACTCGGCGGGACTTCACGGAGGCGCTCGTGCCCGTCCTGCGGCAAGAGTTGATAGCCCTCCGCGACGAAGGGGTCGCGGTCGCCCAGCTCGACGACCCCCACCTGTGCCTGTTCGTCGACCCGAAGGTGCGCGCGGGGTACGACGATCCTCAAGCCGAGATGGCCTACTGCGTCGACCTGCTTAACCGGGTCGTCGATGGCGTTGACGGTGTCCGACTAGCCGTGCACCTCTGCCGTCGGAACAAAGGACGCGCCGGATGGGTTGGTGAAGGCGGATACGGACCGATTCTGCCCGCTCTGTCCGATCTGCAGGTCGATATCCTCATGCTCGAGTTCGCGATACCGGCGGCCGGCGACTTCGCCGTCCTGCGGGACTTACCCGAAAGATTCGACATCGGTCTGGGATGCGTCGACTGTCGGAACAGCCACATCGACACGCCCGGACGAGATCGCCGACCGCGTCCGGCGGGCTGTCCAATACATCGCGCCAGAGCGAATATTGCTGCACCCGACTGCGGCTTCGCCGCCGGGGAGCTCGGCAGCCGACAATCCCCCTCGACGAGGCGTATTTGAAAGCTCAGGAGTGAGGCGCTGGCGGCAGAAAATGCTCCGGCAGGAGTTTGGGTAACGCAGACATGACCGGCGTGCATTGGCTCGTGTGGCGAAGTGGTTCCAAAGCACTGAATCGAACTCTAATGGAGGAGTAGCAATTGCGTCAGCTACGAGAGAGACCGGATCAAGAGGAAGGTCGAACGAGGAGAGATCGTCAACGTCGTCGAGGGCGTTCCACACGGCGGAGATCGTCGACTTCCTCGGCCTATGGGGTTCGACGGTGTATGGGTCGAGACGGAGCATGGCGCAATCGACTTCCGGGAGATCCAAAACATCACACGGTCGTGCGACTTGTGGGGAATGACATCGCTTATTCGCGTCAATCGGGTCGACTACGGACTGATCTACCGGACGCTCGACCAGGGCGCTCAGGGAATCATCGTCCCCCATGTCGATACGGCGGAGCAGGCCCGGGAAGTAGTCCGCGCGGCGAGGTACGCGCCAATCGGCGAGCGAGGGATGTACGAGAGCCGGCAGGCATACGGACTCGATTCTCTGCAGTACTTCCGGTCCGCCAACCGTGAGACGCTCGTAGTCGTGATGATCGAGGACATCCAGGCAATCGAGAACCTGCCGGAGATTCTCGCCGTTGACCACATCGACGTGTTCTTCGTCGCGCCAAGCGACCTCGCCCAGAGCATGGGACTGATCGGCCAGATCGACCATCCTAGGGTCAAGCAGACAATCTCCGATGCCGTAGCGCGCATCTCAGCCGCCGGGCGCACGGCAGGTGCCATCGCTTGGGCATCGACGGCGGAGGAAGTGGTGGAGGCCGGAGCAAGATTCCTGATGACTAGCTGGCTCCCATACTTATCGGCGGGCGCGAAGACCTATCTCGAGGCCGTGCAGCGAGCTGCCGGCAAGAGTGGAAACTCGTCCTGATGGAGAGGAAGAAATCGCTGTAGCGCCCTCCCCTCGTGCTATCATTACCGACTCATGGAACACGACGAACTGAAGCACTGGATCGCCTTTACCAAGGTGCCTTACATAGGGACGGTACGCATTCGCCTGCTGGAGAAAAGGTTCGGCAAACTCTCCGGCGCATGGAGCGCAAGCGAGGGTGATCTGCGCGAGGCCGGCCTGGATGAACGAGCTACTCGGTCGGTCCTGCGGCATCGGAATAAGATCGACCCGGACGCCGAGTTGGCGCTGCTCGATCGGCATAGTTGCTCCGCCATCACGTGGAACGACAGCGAGTATCCCGCTCGGCTCAAGGAGATTGACGACGCGCCGCCGGTGCTCTACATCAAGGGCGAGCTGCTGCCGAAGGACGAGAGATCGGTCGCCGTGGTCGGCACGAGGCGGGTCACTGCGTATGGCCGCGAGGTCACGCATCGGCTCTCGTCTGATCTGGCCAAGTCGGACGTGGTGGTCGTAAGCGGACTTGCCAGCGGAGTAGACGGCATCGCGCACCGGGCGGCGCTGGAAGCCGGAGGCCGAACGCTTGCAGTGCTCGGCAACGGCGTGGACATCGTGTACCCGCGCCAGCACGCGCGGCTCGCCGAGCAGATAGCGAAAACGGCGCCGTCGTATCGGAACACCCCATCGGCACCAAGCCGAAGGCCGAGCACTTCCCCCGGCGGAATCGCATTCTGAGCGGGATAACCCTGGGGACGCTGGTGATCGAGGCAGCGGAAAGCAGCGGGGCATTGATTACGGCCAGGCACGCCCTCGATCAGAACCGCGAAGTCTTCGCCGTGCCTGGCAGTATCCTGTCACCCGGCAGTCGCGGCACCAATTCCCTGATTCAGCGCCTGGAGGCGAAGCCTGTCCACAAGCACGAGGACATTCTCGAGGAACTGAATCTCTCGTTCGTGGGAGCCCAAATCGAGATGGCGGCCCTGTTCCCGGCTAACGACGACGAGTCGAAAGTTCTGTTTCACCTGAGCCAGGAGCCGACGCACATCGACGAGGTCATCCGCGGTTCCGGGATGACCATCTCCGTCGTGAGCAGCCTTCTGGCAATGATGGAATTGCGTGGGCTCGTGCGCCAGGTGGGCGGGATGAATTACGTGCGAGTATGAGTATAGCGGTCGGATTCGGCTGGAAAGCGGTTGCAAACCGGATGCCCACTGTGTTCATAATACCTAGAGTAGGCAGGCCCCTAACCTGCCTGTTTTGTTGCCACAATCCCTATTTGACAATATAGATGGAATAGCTATGGGCAAAGACCTGGTAATCGTAGAATCGCCCGCCAAGGCCCGCACGATCGGGCGCTTTCTCGGCGGCAAGTATGACACTAAGGCCTCGATGGGCCACGTGCGCGACATCCCCAAGAGGGAAATGGGCGTCAAGGTGGATGATCTGAGCTTCGTGCCCAAGTATCGAGTCATGGCCGACAAGCGGAAGATCGTCAAGGAAATCGCCGACGCGGCGAAATCCGCGACGACCGTCTATCTCGCCACCGACCCGGACCGCGAGGGCGAGGCCATTTCATGGCACCTCATCAAGGCGGCCAAGATTGACGCCTCGAAGGTGCAGCGCGTGGTGTTCCACGAGATCACCGACGGAGCGGTCAAGGAGGCCTTCGCGCACCCCCGCGACCTCGATGACAACCTCATCGACGCCCAGCAGGCAAGGAGGGTCCTCGACCGGTTGGTCGGCTACGAGCTCAGCCCCGTTTTATGGAAGAAGGTGCGGCGCGGCCTATCGGCTGGCAGGGTGCAGTCGGTGGCGCTGCGACTCATCGTCGAACGGGAGCAGGAGATCGAGGCATTCCAGACGGAAGAGTACTGGAGCATCGAGGCCAAGCTCGCCCCGAAGTCGAAGAACGGCGCTGACGCACAGACCTTCACGGCAGGTCTTCAGCGGCTCCAGGGCAGCAAGGCGCGCATCGAGATCAAGAACGAAGCAGAGGCTTCTGCGATTTACCGGCGACCTCGAGGGCGCAGGGTATCGCGTGATATCGGTTCGTAGACGAGAACGCAGAAGCAAGCCCTCGGCACCGTTCATCACCAGCACGCTCCAGCAGGAGGCATGGCGAAAGCTCCGATTCACAGCGCGCAGGACGATGGTGGTAGCCCAGCAGCTATATGAGGGCGTCAACGTCGGCACGGGCGGAACGACCGGTCTGATCACTTACATGAGGACGGATTCGACAAATGTCGCCGATTCCGCGCTTCGCGAAGCATCCGCCTACGTCAAGGAAAAGTTCGGGGCGAGCTTCGTGCCCAAAACGGCACGTCGATACACCAAGCGTGTCCGCGGCGCGCAGGAGGCCCACGAGGCGATACGTCCGACCTCCCTCTTCGCCGAGCCGGAGAAGGTGAAGAACCACCTCACGCCCGAGCAGTTCCGTCTGTACGACCTGATCTGGCGGCGAATGGTCGCAAGCCAGATGAACGACGCGGTCTTCGACGCGACGCGGGTCGATATCGACGCCGAGAGCGTTGTCTCGGGTACCCACTATGACTTCCGCGCCACAGGCTCGGTGCTCAAGTTCGCGGGATTTCGGAAGGTCTACATGGAGGGGACGGACTCCTCCAACGGCAAGCCATCCGAGGAGTCGCGTGACTTGCCACCCTTGGAAGACGGCGATGCGCTCGACTTCATCGCCCTAACGCCGGAGCAGCACTTCACGCAACCGCCTCCCCGCTATACCGAGGCGACCCTGATCCGAACGCTGGAGGAGGAAGGGATAGGACGACCGAGCACCTACGCACCGACCTTAGCTACCGTGCTCGATCGCGACTACGCGCGCAAGGCGAAGGGAAGGTTCGAGCCGACGAAGCTCGGAAGAGCAGTGACCGGACTGCTCATACAGCACTTTCCCGACGTGGTTGACATCGGGTTCACGGCGAAGGTGGAGGAGCAACTCGATGAAATAGCGAGCGGCCAACGCGCGTGGAACCCGATGCTGAAGGAGTTCTACCAGCCGTTCAACGCGACGGTCCAAGAAGCGCTGGAAAAGGCCGAGCGTGTCCCCAGCAGCGAGATCGACGAAGAGAGCGGCGAGGTCTGCGAGAAGTGTGATAGTCCGATGGTAATCAAGTCGGGGCGGTTCGGGAGGTTCCTTTCGTGCAGTGGATTCCCCAATTGCCGAAACTCGAAGCCGCTAATGGAGCGAGTCGGCGTGGAGTGTCCGAAGGACGGCGGGGACATCGTCGAGCGACGACAGCGTGGTAAGGGCGGCAGGAAGTTCTACGGATGCGCCAACTACCCGGACTGCGACTTCACGGTCAACCGCAAGCCGCTGGGACAGCCCTGCCCGGAGTGCAGCGGCCTGCTTGTCGAGCAGGGGCGCGACCGCTGCCAGTGCCGGGAGTGCGACTACAGAGGTCCGGTCCCCGAAGCCGTCGACGCAGGCGAGTTGGTCGAGGCGTGAAACTCGCCAAAAGGTGAACTCTCAATACGTAGGGGCGCGCTCTGTCGCGCCCTTATGATTGTGTCGAGATGACCGAAGCTGCTTGGCGGGAACTGATTGACCAGTTCGACACGCACTTGACGGCGGAGAAGGGGCTTGCTCCCCTGACCCGGCGCAACTACACGACCGACCTTGAACCGCTCTTCGAGTTCATGCGTCGCGAGGCATAGCCGACCTCGGCGAACTCGACCGCTACCGCATCAGAGCGTACCTCGCATGGCTGGTCGAGCTCGGTTACGTGAAGGCCAGCGTCGTCCGGAAGCTCAGCGCTCTCCGAACGTTCATACGGTGGCTCATACGCATCGGCGTCCTGACGGAAGACCCTCTCCCAACGCGGGGCATGATGAAGAAGGAGTCGCGCCTGCCCCGGTTCCTCTCGCAGAACGAGGCCGCGCGCCTGGTGTCCGCTCCCGACGGTTCGACGAGCTGAAGCTCCGTGACCGCGCGCTGCTGGAGGTGATCTATGCCGCCGGGCTGCGGGTCAGCGAGGTGCGCGATCTGAATGTCAACGACATCAACTTTGGAAACGAAGGAGCTTCGCGTTCGCGGGAAGGGCTCGAAGCAGCGAGTCGTCCTTATCGGCGAAGCGGCGCACCGAGCGCTGTACCGTACCTTCACGAGGTCCGTCCGACGCTGGTGACGCGAGAGAGCGGCGCGGCGGTGTTTCTGAACCGCAGCGGCGGTAGGCTGAGCCAACGCAGCATTCAGGCGAAGTCCGCAAGTACTCGACGATGGCCGGCCTGAGGACGGACGTGCACACGCATACGCTGCGCCACTCGTTCGCGACGCACCTGCTGGAGGGCGGCGCGGACCTGCGAGTCGTGCAGGAACTGCTCGGGCACGCATCCCCCGCGACGACGCAGATCTATACGCACGTGACGCAGACGCAGGCCCGCAAGGCGTACCTTGCGGCCCACCCCCGTGCATCAAAGTCGGCGCCGCAAGGGGAACCGAGCGACTAGCGGGAACGCACGGATTCCCTGCGTACCTCTGCTACAATCGGTTAGGTGACCTCCGTACGGCCCGACGATCAGCCCCCTGAACTTGCTGAGTTGACCCTCTTCGACGAGATAGGCCCGCTTGGCGACTGTCTTGCCGACTTCGAGGACGGGCGAATCAACGTGTTCGGGGGAATTCCCGGCGAGCGTGTTGTAGCGCGAATCGTTCGATACCGTCGGCGTCGGAAGCGGATGGTCTCGGGCATAGTGCAGGATGTCGTCACGGCGTCGCCCCATCGCGTTTCCGCGCCGTGCCAATACTTCGGGGCATGCACCGGATGCCAGTGGCAGCATGTTTCGTATAACCATCAACTCGCCCTTAAGCGAGGGTACGTGGAACGGAACTTCTCTGAATATCCGTCGCTGAGCGGTACCAACATCGAACCGTGCATACCTGCGCCGAGCCTCTACGGCTACCGGAACCACGCCCGCTACACGATCAGGCGGGAAGGCAGTCCCGGCTTCGTAAACCGGATCACTCGCAGGTTCGTCCAGACGGACGAGTGCTTGTTGATGACTCCGGGAATCAACCGGCTGGCGGACGGCCTGAAGGGACGGGCACAGGAGACGAGCCAGCTATCCATCCGGTACGGCGTCAATACCGACGACTGGCTCATCCAGCCAACGCTGAAGAGCGAGCAGATATTCCGCTGGAGTCCGGGCAGAGTCACTACACCGAGAAAGCTACTAGGTCGGACGTTCCGTATAGCTTCACCGTCGTTCTTTCAGGTCAACACCGAGCAAGCGGAGCGACTGGCGGAGCTTGTGGGCCGGACACTGGAGCTTTCCGGCAGGGAGTTGGTCGTCGACGCCTACGCGGGCGTAGGGACGTTCGCCATACTCCTCGCCGACTCCGTGAACAGGGTCGTCGCGATCGAGGAGTCCGCCGCCGCGGTCCGTGGATGCGCCGCGAACGCATCGGGCATAGAGAACGTCGAGTTCATCGAAGGGAAAACGGAGGACGTGCTCGACTCGATGCAGGCCCGGCCCGACGCGGTCATCCTCGACCGCCACGGTCCGGGATGCCATCCGACCGTGCTGGAGGCGCTCATACGACTGGCCCCTGAGCGGACGGTCTACGTGTCGTGCGACCCCGAGGCGCTCGCGCGCGACCTTGACGTGCTCGTTCGGGGCGGCTTCAGAATCGAGTCGGTACGGCCCATCGACATGTTTCCGCAGACGCACCATGTCGAAACGGTGGCGCTGCTGGAGGGAGTGAGTAGAAAGTATTGAGTATTGCGTAGGGGCGAGCTTGTCGAACCATGAACGGCACTTCGACCCTTTGACAGGCTTTGCACGTAACTGCGGGAACCCCCTCTCTGTATCTCTCCCCCGGCGGGGGAGAGATGTTGTGTGGTTGCACGGCAGTTGCTCTTACCGGGCACGGGGCGTAACGCTGCTCAGGGTGAACGGATTTGCTGTTGGACACCCCTTTATGGCATGACGGTGATGTCGATCTCGTCGATGAGGATATCGCCAGACGCCTCCTTCTCTTGCTCTGTCAGCGATACGCCGAGGGTGTTGTCTCCGTCGATCATGTCGTCGGGGTTGAGGTCGAAGATGACGGTGGAGTAGGCGGGGAGCGGACGGCCGATGTTGGTCGAGCGACCGCTTTCATGCCACATTCGACGAACGCTCTCGTCGGGGATGGTTACGCCATTCATGTCGAATGCCAGATTGTCACCCGGCCTAAGATGCTGAGCACGGACCGCCGCATAGGCGTATCCGATCTCGTCCCACTGCTCGCAGAGGCGCAACCGGTATTCCTGCCGGACGCCGGGCGTCTCGCGGCTCAGGACGATCTTGTCGTCCTTGATCGCGCCGGTGGAGGCCATGCCCGGCGCACCGTGGTAGTCCACGCCACCTAACATCGATCGGAACAGGTAGGTGCGATGGCGTGACCTGACGGCTTCAGGGTCCTTGAGCTCTCTGAGTAGGGCCAGTGAGCCGGGGAAGTCGCCGATGAGGTTTCCCGTGTACTGCTCCTGATAGTTGAAGCTCGATACGCCGTCGGCACCGGCCCCGTACATGTTATTGGCGAGGGCGCGGTAGTTGTCGGAGGTCATTGGGCGGAGGTAGACCCGCGACTGGAACGCCATATGGTCGGTGGTGCCGCTCTTGCCGGTGTCCGGCTGGAGCGCCCAGGGGACGGTGTCGCTGCGAGCGTCGGTGGCCGAGCAGAACGGCATGATGCCGGGCAGCAAGCGGCAACTTGTACCCTCCGTGAGACTCGAAAACTCCTCCCATTGCGCGTTGTGGTTCGAGTACATGGAGTTGCCCGGACTCACATAGTCGAGAATACCCGTGGTGATCCACGTGGGAATGTCGAGTCCGCAGTCGTGGCACTCGTCAATTGTCTCCGGCACGCGAACGCCCAAGAGCAACTCCTTGCCCTTCCTGCGTCCTTCGTCGTCCAGCATGACGCGGATTCGGCGAAATAGCTCGGTCATCAGGTGCTGGCGTTCACGGGAGATCGAGCGTGGGTACGGAAAGTGGCTGTCGCTGCGGAAGGTTATCTCGATGCCGTCCACATCGAAGCGGCGGGCTATCTCCGCAATGGCACCGAAATGGAAGTCACGCACCTCTTTGAACGAGAAATCGAGCGTATTGCCCGGGTTGGCCAGCGGTCCCGGCGGGACGTCCCTCAGGATGAACTCAGGGTGGTCGAATATCCACTGAGCGCCCTGGGTGGGAGCCCCATGGTCGTCTCCGAACCGCGCACCCGCGATGAACTTCATCCCACGCTGATGGGCGCGTTCGCAGAATATCTCGATGGGGTTGATGCCCCGGTCGAGCATCGGAATCCAGCGTCGGTGCTGGGGGCGCTGATCGTACTCGTAGGTGTCGGAGTAGAAGTGGAGCACCCATCCCTGGCCGAAGACCTCCTGCCCAAAGGCGTCGGCCCCACTGAGCGCGAAGTGGTCGACGAGCATTTGGATCTGTTCGGGTGAGGCCGGATCGCCGACGTACGGCTCCCGCGCGTGACTCGAAAGGTCGGCACGAACAGGAGGCGGATGTCGCCCTTGGGCTTGATCGGTCTCGGTCCCGGCGGTGTGAAGGCATTACTCCTCATTCTCCTTTATGCCGAGCGCCGCCCGGTCCAAGTGCGCGGAATAGACCTGGTGCCAGCCGCCCTCGTCGTCGATCTCGTAGTCGTCCGCGCTGTCCTGCGGCTCCCATCCGAGCACGTCACGGGTGTGCTCGATGTCGATCCAGCGGTACTTGTTGTTGGAGGTCGCTCGGAAGATGTCGAACTTCAGCGACGGGGGAGCTTGCAGGCACTGTCGACCACGCTCACACAGTCGCGATGGCTGAGATAGCCCATCGCCTGTCGACGCTGCGTCGGCCTGTTGGCAGGCGTCACGGCCCCGAGCCGGATACAGAGAAATCGACATATCGAACACGTCGGAGTAGTAGCGCGCCAATGCCTCGCCGAAGACCTTGCACGCGCCGTAGACGCTCTTCGGGCGGACGGGGTCGAGATGGGTAATCATCGGCCACGTGTCGGGCAGCTTGTCGTACTCGCCCGCGCCGATGAGGCCGTACGGGAGGCTCTTATCGTATTCGTAGCCCGTTTGCGTGTCGCCGGTGCTGCCGTACACGATTCTGCGGACGCCGTGAATTCGCGCCGCCTCGTAGACGTTACGGGTGCCGATGATGCCGGCAGAGAGGTGCTTCTCCCAGTCGAATACGTCTTCGATGTAGTTGGCCATGTGTACGACCATCTCCACACCCTCAAACGCCGGCAGGATGGCGTCGAGGTCGGAGATGTCGGCCTGAGTGCAGGGAATCCCCTCGACGGGACGACGGTTAAGGGCGCTGAAGTCGACTTGTCGGCCAGTCGCTCCACGATGATGCCGCCGATCAGGCCGCTGGCGCCGGTAACGAGGACTTTCGGTTTGGTCATTTGTTACACCTGACTAATGGCGATTCACCGCAGAGGGCGCGGAGAGCGGGAGGGATGATGGATTCCCGCCTTCGCGGGAATGACGGATGATGGCAGCTATTTTCTGAGGTATATGCGCAGAGCGGAGACGGACGACCACAAGGGTCGCCCCTACGACGGGTTTGCCAGGTTGTTTTCAGGGTAATGCCGGACCGGCGTGGTGGGCATGTAGTTTGCGGTGTAGTGGAAAAGAATTGGCATGGGTTACTTTAGAACGATGTCGCCGCTCTGGCCGCCGGTCTTGCGGCGGAAGTCGGATATCTCCGATGCGCATTCCGCGGTCTACGGCCTTGCACATGTCGTAGACCGTCAGAGCGGCGACGCTGACGGCGGTCATCGCCTCCATCTCGACGCCGGTCTTGGCGGTCGCCGGGCGGTGGCACGGATGTCTACCGTGGAGCGCTCGTGGTCGAGGCGGAACTCGACCGTGATCTGGTCGAGGGGCAAGGGGTGACAGAGGGGAATGAGCTGCGCGGTGTTCTTGGCCGCCATTACGCCCGCGATCCGGGCCACGCCGAGGGCGTCGCCCTTCTCGATGTCGTTGGCCTCGATGAGTTCAGAGTCTCGGGCTGCATGAGCACGGTGCCTGTGACAACGGCCACGCGCTCGGTCGCGGCCTTTGGGCCTACGTCGACCATCTGGGCCTTGCCGGAGGCGTCGACGTGGGAGAGTTTTTGTCCCGGCGAAGGCTGTGGTGGGTCGTTGACCGGTTCGCCGCGGCCTCTGCGTTGGCGATGCGGTCGGCCTTTTCGTTGAGCGGGTGACCGGCGTGGCCCTTGACCCAATTCCACTGGACGTTTCGCTTGGCGACCTCGAAGTCGAGTCTGGCCCACAGGTCCTGATTCTTGTTGCGCTTCCAGCCCTTCGTCATGGTGTTGATGAGGTATGAGCTGTCGCTGTGGACGCGCACGTCGACGCCGGAGGGAGTGGCCTCGATGCCCTGGATGGCGGCAAGGACCTCCATCCGGTTGTTCGTGGTGTTCTCGTCGCTCCCGTGGACCTTGCGTGACCCACCGTTCTCGACGATGATCGCGGCCCAACCGCCGGGACCGGGGTTCCCGATGCAGCTGCCGTCGGTGAATATGTCGATCATGTTCTTGTGTCCTCGCGTGGACGCTACCTCGTGTCTTTGGAGTTCCTTGCGTAGGGTGGATGGGCATGCTTCGGAGGAGTCACCCTCACCCCCGTATCGGGTACGGGGCAGGCTCCAGCCCTCTCCCACGACGGGAGAGGGGATTCCCTCGGTCTGGTTTGTTGGGTGAGTCTCTGTGGCAAGACACTCCATTAGGGCTCGATCGACCAGGGTGGCGAGATAGCGTCCTCTATCATATAGGGTTTTGGGACGGCATCAAGCTTACGGTTAGCCATATGCTGCCTGGTTATACTCCAGGATCATCTTGTCGGCCTGCAGCCGGGCTTTAGGATCGGGTGAACGCAGTTGGACGGCGAGATCTTCGAAGACCTTGACGAGGAGGTCTCCGGTTTGTTCGTTGACGTGAAGGAGTGCCTCCGCCTGTCGTCGGCCGTAGGCGGCCCTGAAAGCGGGTGTCTTTAGCCATCGGTAGAGGGTGGCGCGTGAGACCCCGGCATTTCTCGCGGCTTCGGCGATTATTGGAATGGCGACAAGGCACTCGATGGCACGAAGCTGCCGGTGGGTTAGGTTGGAATGCTGTTGGGTGGGTTGCGGTTGGTCTTGGGTCATCTTTTCGATCCCTCCATTGAATTTGCCGTTTCGACTTCGTTCAGCGTCATGAGACAGATTGAGAATATGAGACAGTTTGAGAACATGGTGCGCTAAGAAAACATGAGACGCTTTGAGAATACGAGACACTTTGAGAACGCGGGACGCTCTGAAAGCGTGAGACGCTTTGAGAATATGAGACAGTTTGAGAACGTGGTGCGCTTAGAAAACATGAGACGATTTGAGAATACGAGACAGTTTGAGAACGGAGTGCGCTAAGAAAACGTGGGACGTTTGAGATATGAGAACCGGTTGAGAACGGAAGTGCGCTAAGCAAAAACAAAAACCCGGTTGGAGACGCTTGAGATATGAGTGCGGGGAAGGGTTTTTCTCTTTTGTTCGTTTGAGAACGGAGGGCTGCTCTAAGAACAAAGTGAGACGCTTGTGAGGAATATGAGAGCCCGTCCGCCCATGAGAATGTGACAGCCTAGTTTTGAGAGCGTGGGACGGTTTGAGAATGCGAGACGGTATGAGAATGTGAGAGGTTCTGAGAACGTGGGATGCTTTGAGAACGTGAGACGGTTTGAGATTCTTCGTATGGTCTAGGATTTTGGGCCTCAATTCTCATAGTGTCTCGCACAGTTTCGCGGGTTGGGTCGCGGTAGGTGGATACGGCTTATGCGACGGGGTTAGAGTAGATGATATGTTCTTATGCGTCAAGTTGGCGTCGTAATGGGCGCTCTGGAGGGCAAGGACTCTGGATTCCTCACAATGCCGCTTCGGCGTCGGAAGTGACAGGGGATGAGGAGTGCATGCAACGCTAATCTCATGACTACTTAGGGTCCGGTTTCGCGATGGACTGCAGCTGCGTCACAGAGCTCTCTGTACTCTCTCCCGTCGAACGGGCGGAGAGATCTGAGTGTATGCGCGTGAACGCGGATCTGGCGTGGTGAGGTCGTGAGACCTTGCCATCTCGCAGATGGAGTCTGGTTCGTTTTGTGACGGCCTGCAGCGTCAAGACCCTCTCGTTATAATCAATCTCACCTCGACGCGCTGGGTAGAGCATCCCGGTGGTCCCGCGCATGCGGGAATGGAGGCGTGGGGGCGTCGGCAGCGTGTAGTATGATGCGCAGAAATCGGCAGCCAACAGGGAGAACTCCATGACACGCAAGGACCGAAAGATCATCAGCAACGACGACGGATGGATCTTGAGCAATATGACCTCGCCCCGCGACGGCCGGGCGGAATCGCGATGCAGCGAGCTCATGGTCGACACCTATCCCGTTCGCCACACCGGGGCGGCGTGTCGTCTTGGTGCGTCGGCAAACAAGCACGCTAGACGTCCATGCGAGCACGAAACGATTTTTTGTGGTGGGCCGAACGCACGACGGGTACGAGCACGTGCGAGAGAACGTGCGGTTGCACACTGGTGCACCAGAACGACTCTAGCAGGCTGATCGAGAGCTCCGGCGGGCCGCTTACGGAGATCACGCGGCAGTTCCACGAGGCGGGCATCGACGTGCTGCCGTCCATGCGGATGAACAGCCACTACGACATCGCGTACGACTCGCCGGGTCACGGCAAGTTCCGCCGGGAGCATCGCGACTACGACTGGCTGATTCGGCCAGCCGAATGAGTACATTCCGCGTCCATCGCTGGAGTTCGCCATCGCGCGCGGCGTGGACTACAAGTTCCCCGGCGTTCGCGCCCACCTGCTCAAGGTCATCTTCGAGCTGTTCGAGAAGTTCGACGTGGACGGCGTGGAGCTCGACTACTTCCGGCACCCCGCCTTCTTCAGGATCGAGGAGGCTTACTCCAACCGGTACCTGATGACCGACTTCATCCAGCGCATCAGGCAGCGCATGGACGAGGTCGGCGAGGAACGCGGCAGCACTTCGCTTGCCGTGCGTTCCCTGTCCCGCCGACGCTGTACGACTCCAAGCGCATCGGGCTCGACGTGGAGACGTGGATCACCGAGGGACTGGTGGACATCGTGGCGGCCGGCGGAGGGTTCATGCCGTTCGAGCAGCCGATCCGGGAGTTCGTCGAGGTGGCGGAAGGGACGGACTGCCAGATATACGGCAGCTTAGAGGCGCTGCGCTGGGCTTTGGACGAGGAACTGCTCTACGCGCTGGCTGCGCGCTTCTGGGACGCGGGCGTGGATGGATTCTACCTGTTCAACTACTTCAACGCGCCGAATGAGTGGAAGAGGCGCGTGCTGGGCAACATGGTCGACCGCGATAAGCTCGCCCGTCTCAACAAGCGGTATGAGCTCGACCACTCCGACCGCGTGGGGAAGGAGTTTCACTCAGGGGCGTTTCGTTACGCCCTCCCCTGGGCTTCCCTGCCGGTGTTCATGGAGGAGACGCAGCCGGGGCGGAGGCTCTGCGCTCACGCTGGACATCGCCGACGACGTTGAGGGCGCCAAGCGCGATGGCGGTCTGAAGTCCTGCATTCTGGACCTGGGATTTGACAATCTGAACGAGGACGACGAGCTGGACGTTCGGATCAACGGCGAGGCGGTGGACTGGTCGTCAGGGCAGCGTTCCGAGGACGGCTGGGGCTACACGATATTCGACGGGGTCGTGTACCACACGACCATGTCGCAGGCCCACGTCGAGGGAACGGTGATCCGGTTCGACGTGACCGACCTGCCCATCAGGAAGGGGGACAACGAGCTGCTCGTGCGACTCATCAAGGGTTGGGGACCGCACTTCGACCCGGTTACGCTGACGGAGGTGCGGCTGCGTATCGGGTACGAGTAGTCAGCGCCAGCCGAGGCTGATCGAACCACACGCCGTCGCGATAGTTTTGGATGGCAGCGGCGGACGTAGGGGATGGTGTTGGGCGGCAGGTCGTCGATATCGAACCAACTCAGGTCGTCGCATTTGTGCGGCTCCATGTTGACGACCTCGCCGGAATACCGGGAAGCGTGAAGAAAGAATGAGACGTATTCATCGTCTTCCTTCAGGTGCATTACCCCCACGACCGCCAAGTCCTCAGATGATATCTCGATGCCGGCTTCCTCCCGCGCCTCGCGTATCATCGCGGTCTTGAGTCCTCGCCCGCCGTCGATGTGACCGGCGACCACGCTGTAATTCCCGTCTTCATACCCGGTGTTGTAGCGACGGAGCATGAGGATTTGGCCGTCCCGCACGAGCAGGAGATGGACGGCCACAGGCGCTAGGAACACTATACCCTCGGCATTCGTGTGCCCTCGACCTTCATCCTCATCCTGTAGACCGAGGTGCGGGCCGTGACGTAGAGCGTCTTGTTGTCGGCGTCGCCCCACGCGAGGTTCGCGGGAAGCTCGGGGAGACGGATCTTCCCGATGTAGTCCCCCTCCGCCCGTGCACCCACACACCACCCGGCCCGGTGCAGTAGGTGCGGCCCTCCACGTCGACCTTCATGCCGTCGGGGACGCCCGGCTCGCCCTGCTGGGAGAGCTCGGCGAAGACGCGCCGGTTGGCAAGAGTGCCGTCGGACAGCACGTCGTAGGCGCTGATGTGCTTGTGGTGTCGCGTGTTGGAGACGTAGAGCGTGCCTTCGTCCGGGGAGAACGCGAGGCCGTTGGGATACTCGAACGGCGCCGCTCGAATACCACCCCATCCGGCGTCACGCCGTATACGAAATTTTCGTATACGCGCGCGCTCGGCGTGTGGTTCGGCCATGCTCCCGGGTCTGTGAAGTACATCGTCCCGTCCGACCGGAAGACGACGTCGTTGGGCCTGTTCAGCGGGCGTCCTCTGCACGATGCGGCGACGGGCACGATGGTACCGTCGGATTCCATTCGCGTCACGCTGCGGTGGAGGCCGTCGCACATGACGAGCCGACCGTCGAGGTCGAGGGTCATGCCGTTGGATCCGGCGGGACTCTCGCGGACTACCGTCAACTCGTTGCTGTCGAGGTCGAGGCGGTAGACATAGGGATCGGTGGTGAAGAGGAAATACCCGTCAGGATGCCAGACCGGGCCTTCCGTGAAGCCGTGTCCGGTGGTCAGCGGCGTTGTTTCGAGGTGGTCGAGGACCTGGTCGAGTCTGTCGGGCATGGATTATTCCCTCGTTGAGTGTGGGCGAGAGTGTTGCATAATCGGCGTCTTGGTGCCAGACCCGGCGGGGGATTCACCGCGGAGGGCGCGGAGAGGGCGGAGGAAGGAGAGAAGAAAGTATTGCGTATGGGGGAAGTCTTGGAGGACGAGAATATTAGATTCCTCACTGCGCTTCGCTGCATTCGGAATATCTCATGAGGGTTGTCACTCTCACCACCTGGAATGAAAATGGTGGCTCCGCATGACAGGGGCAGAAGATGGATTCCTGCCTTCGCAGGAATGACGGTGTGGGGGTGGCGCTGCGGCTATTTTCGTAGCAATGACAGGTGTGGAGGGTATGCGGTCGGAATGACAGGTTAGTAGCGGAATCGTTCGGGCGGCTCTACAATCGTTATCCTGCATGGAGGAGCAATGAGCGCAGAACGTAAGAAGAGCCGTCGCGAGAAAATCCGCTGGTGAGCCTGGCGGTGAATACATCGTCATCCCGGTCATCATCCTGGTGCGTTTCAGCGGCGAGGACGAGCTTGGGCCGGTTAACGGGCTTTTGCTGGCGCTGGCTTTCCCGGTGGGTTATGGGCTGTATGACTTAATTGCACGTGGTGGCTTTGATCCTGTTCGGCTATTTCGTGCTCTAGTAAGACGAAAACGACCTTATGACTTTATCCACTGGCGGCGATTCAATCCCTATTCGATTCTGGGGTTCGTGAGCGTGCTTCTCACGGGCGGGATAGGGCTGCTCAAGCTGCCGGTGGAGTGGCTGGCGATCAAGGAGGCGGCAATCCCGTTCATCATCTGCGCCGCAGTGGTGATTTCGATGCGGACACCCTATCCCCTCGTCAAGACGATCATGCACAAGGTCATCAACGTGGAGCGGGTATACGAAGCGCTGAACCGACGGCAGAGCATCGAGGCGTATGAGCGCCGGGTGGACGCGGCAACGTACATGATCGCGTTCGGGCTGCTGGTCTCGACCGTATTGAACTACGTCCTGGCGCGGGTCGTCGTCGTGAGCGAGCCGGGAACGACAGCCTTCAACGAAGAGCTTGGACGCATGACGGCGCTGAGCTTTCCGGTCATCACCGTTCCCTCGATAACCATCCTCGCGTTTGCGCTATACTACCTCGCCAGCGGCATCACGAAAGAGACGGGGCTGGAGTTCCAGGACATCTTCAAGACGACACAGGACGACGAATGAACCTCATAATCGCCGGATGCGAGTACTCAGGAACGACGACGCTTGCCAACGGGATAGCGGAGTGGGCGCGCAGGACGATGGGCGGGACGCAGGAGATCCACGACCATTTCAAGATTCCCCACATCGCGTGCTACCGGATCGGGCCTCCCGCCGAGCCTCTCACGGACGAGGAATTGGGACAGATCATGGCGTGGACGCCGAAGATGAAGGAGATGGCCCAGCGGCAGAGCATGAACTACCACATGCCCAACACGTGTGCGGGCGACGACTACATCGTTGTCGGCTTCCACGTCGAGGATGCCGTCTACGCAGCGCCGTTCTTTGGCTACGGCCACGACAAGGAGCCGCAGGGGGGCTTGCGCTGGAAGTATGCCCGTCACCTCGAGACGGAGTTCATGGAGCAGGCGCCGGATACTGTGCTCGTCTACGTCAAGGCCTCGGCAGAGGTGATCGCCGAGCGAATGGCTAAGAACCCACATCCGTTCTCCATCGTGCAGAAGAAGGACATAGAACCGGTGCTCGCGGACTTCGAGACGGAATACGAGCGGTCGGTCATCCACAGCAAGGTCGTCATCGACACGTCGGATGCGACGGTCGAGGAGAGCGTCGATGAGTTGAGGCTGTCGATTCAGCCGCATCTGACGATCGAGGACCGGCGGAGGATGGTCGTGCGGGGGACGGCGGGCTAGTGCGCCGTGGCAGTGACACTCGTCAATTGGAACGTTGAATGGGCTACTCCTCGGTCATCGCGGAGCCCTGAAATCTTGAAACGTATTGAACAGCACAAGCCTGAGATTATCTGTCTTACCGAGACGCACGTTGGTCTGTTGTCGCAGGGCGGCCACATAATCTCCTCGCGACCTGACTACGGATACTCGATCAGGGAAGAGCGGCGGAAGGTGCTACTTTGGTCACGGGAACCATGGGAGCAAGTGGATGACTTGGGGAGCGACGTGATGCCTCCTGGACGGTTCGTGTCCGGCGTCACTGAGACCACGATGGGAGAGGTGACGGTTATTGGGGTATGTATTCCCTGGGCCGATTCACGGGTACGAGGGACCGAAGTGAAGCGCAAGAAGTGGGAAGATCACCTCCAGTATTTGAATGGTCTGTCAGAAGTGCTTGATCGAAAACCCGCCACACGCCTCGTCGTGGTCGGGGACTTCAATCAGCGGATGCAACAAGGCAAGACGGCGCCGGCCGATGTTCGTATGGCTTTACAAGACGCCATCGTTTCGCGAATGAATATCGTAACCTCGGGGCTTGGCTATCGGGGCCGCAGAAGCATTGACCACGTTGCGTTAAGCAGTGACCTGTCAGCCGAGTATCTCGGCGTGATCAGTAGCTTCGATGGGGAGCGTAAGCTGTCGGACCATTTTGGAGTCGCTGCCGGTCTGTCAGCCGAGCGAATAAAGGACAGAAGATAGATCGTAGTCACAACCGCGTTACTTGCATAGGCAATGGAAAGTGTAAGAGCCGGCAGGGTAGATAAGGCAGGAAGAAATGAACATCATAGTAATCGGATGCGAGTACACGGGTACCACTACGCTGATGCTGCGGGTGCAAGAGTGGATGAAGGACTCCCTCGGTCGGGCGAGCATCTTCCACGACCACTTCAAGCTGCCTAACAATTCGGGACATCCCCCGCTCGACCCGGACTCGATCATCTTTGACGAGGAGGAGAAGCGACAGGTGCTGGAGATGTCGCCGAAGCTGAAGGAGCTGTTCACCCGGTACACGCTGTACTACCACTCTCCGACCCGGCCCATGAAGTCCACGGATATTGGCGGGCTCCATATCGGTCACCACATCGACGAGATGATCTATGCGCCGGCATACTTCGGATATGGCGGCCCGGGCGAGCCGGGCGACCGTCGTGTGGAAGCGCAGAACGTCGAGCAAAGCTTCTTGAAATACGTGCCGGAAACGGTGCTGGTACTGATGAGGGCCTCCGCTGAGGTCGTGAGGAGCCGCAAGAAAAGTGCGCCGCACGCAGACGGGGTAGTCCGAGATGAGGACATCGAGCATGTATTGCAGCGCTTCGATGGGGAGTTCGCCCGCTCGGCAATCCGCAACAAATTCACGCTCGACACGACCGACTCCACGCCGGACGACACGTTCCAAGAGTTTCTCTGCGAGATGGAGCCGTTCTGGACGGAGGGCGACCGTCTGCGGATGCTGACGCACAAGCTTTGACCTCATAGCTTCGCGCCTTTTCAGCCAATCGCCGTTGAACGCACTGCACCCCTCATGGCCGCGGGCGGCGTGGTAGTATGGTTGATACCATGGTTGCCCGAACGGAAATAGGCGTGGATGAGAAGTTGTCGTCCCTCAAGGCCTCCCTCGCTGAGATGCGCCATGTCATCGTCGCGTATTCGGGGGGAGTGGACAGCACGTTTCTTGCGGCTGTGGCGAATGAGGTGCTCGGTAGTGCGTCCCTAGCCGTTACCGCGCGGTCGCCGAGCCTCGCGCGGTCGGAGCTTGAAGGCGCGGTCGAAGTGGCCGGTCTGCTCGGTCTGAACCATCGCGTCATCGAGACGGCGGAGGTGGAGAGGGACGATTACCGCATCAACGATCCCAACCGCTGCTTCTTCTGCAAGGAAGAGCTGTACACGCACCTCTCGACCCTGCCGGAAGCGGAGTACTCGCAGATCATCAACGCGCACAATCTGGACGACACGGGAGACTTCCGGCCCGGCATCAACTCGGCGAAGAAGCGTGGTGTGCGCAGCCCACTGGTCGAGGTGGGCTTGACGAAGGCGGAGATACGCGAGCAATCGCGGGCGCTGGGCCTGCCGACGTGGGACAAGCCCGCGCAGGCATGCCTGTCTTCGCGGATTCCGTACGGTACGCCGGTCACGGTCGAGGCCCTGGCCCGGATCGCGGAGGCGGAAGAGTACCTCCGGTCTCTGGGCATCGAGCGGCTTCGGGTGCGCCACCATGACACGGTCGCGCGCATCGAGGTCGGCCCCGAGGATTTTTGTATATTGCTGGACGACGAGACGAGGCGTAGGGTGATCGAGCGGTTCCGGGAGATTGGCTACTCGTATGTGACGCTCGACCTGGAGGGTTTTCGTTCAGGGAGTCTCAATGAGGTGTTGGCGGGACTTCGTCGGAAGCAGGAAGTGAACGGCACGTTTCAGGGGGAGTAATACCAATTTCGTCCCATGCCGCCATAGTCCAGCTGATTGGGCTTACTGGATTCCCGCCTTCGCGGGAATCACCATGGCCTTGCAAAGGCCACATAAGGGGATGAAAACGGGTTGGTGCCGGGAACGGGCAACCACAAGGGTTGCCCCTACAACAGGTTTGCCGGAGCCTATTTTCAGAGGAATGACGGATGGGGACAGCACGTTTCAGGCAGAGTAGACGAAGGGAGTAGCATGGACTCCGAAGTCGATCGGTACACAGCTTCGACACCGAGGTCGGCGGAGCTTCAGGCCGAGGCGGAGCGATACCTACCCGGCGGAAGCTCTCGCGGCACGGCGTACTTCGCGCCCTACCCGTTCTTCGTCGAGCGCGCGGACGGGCACCACGTCGTCGACGTGGACGGGAACCGCTATCTCGATTTCATGCTCAACGCGACGACCTACGTGCTCGGTCACTCGAACGACCGCGTCGTCGAGGCGGTGCGCGAGCAGGCGGCGAACGGCCTCAGCTACAGCACGCCGCACGAGTCTCAAGTACGGCTGGCGCAGGCCCTGTGCGAGCGGGTGCCATCGGTCGAAAAGGTACGGTTCACGAACTCGGGCACCGAGGGAACACTGAACGCCATCCGCGCCGCACGCGCCTACACCGGAAGACACAAGATCGCGAAAATCGAGGGCGGGTACCACGGAAACCACGAGTACGTCTCGGTTAGCGTCTACGCTCCTCTCGACGCGCTGGACCCCGAAGAGCCTACGAGTGTCGCCGAGTGGCCGGGCCAGCCGCCGAGCGTCGTCGAGGACGTTATCACCTTGCACTACAACGACATCGAGTCGACGGAGCGGATTCTGCGCGAGAACGCGGCCGAACTGTCCTGCGTCATCATCGAGCCGGTGCTGTCGAACTTCGGGTATTTGCCCGCCGACGGCGAGTACCTGGCGCGACTGCGCGAGCTTACCACCGAGCTTGGCCTGATATTCATATTCGACGAGGTGCAGAGCTTCCGGCTCTCACAGGGCGGCGCGCAGGAGCAGATGGGTGTCATCCCGGACATGACGACATTTGGGAAGGTTATAGGCGGTGGAATGCCCGTAGGAGCTTGGGGCGGACGCGCCGACCTGATGGACCTGTTTGACCCGACGGACGGCCCGGTGGTCTCGCACGCGGGGACGTTCAACGCCAACCCGATGACGATGGTGGCCGGCCTGGCGACGCTCGATCAACTAACGCCGGAGGTCTATGAGCGCATGAACGCGCTCGGCGACATACTGCGGGCGAAGCTGCGGGCGGTCTTTGACGAGCTCGACGTTGCGGTCCAGGTGACAGGGATCGGTTCGCTGTTCGGCATCCACTTCACGGAGGAGCGGATCGTCGATCACCGCTCGGTGCTGCGTGCCGACCGCGCGATGCAGCAGAAGCTCTTCACCGGTTACTCAATGAGGGCATCCTGATGCAGTCCAAGGCGGCGGGGGCGCTGTGCTCGCTCACGACCGAGTCGGAAATCGACGCTCTTTGGTGACGGACCCGGCAGTGATGTTGCGGATCGGTGTGTTGCCCTACCCGACCCTGACGCGCACGTAGCCGCGCTTTGCCTATCTTCACCAGCGCACCTGCGAGCCTCGATGCCGGGACCGATGAGCGCGGGTCTTCGACCATCTCGCCGTTGATGCGGATGCCTCCCTGCTGAACGAGGCGGCGTGCGTCGCTTTTGCTTTGCACCAAGTCGCTGGCAGCAAGAAGATCGACGACCCTCCGACGCCGTCTCTCGCTGATGGCGTCGTGCACGTGACTGAAGTCGAATGTCGGAGGGCACATCGCGCGCGTTGACGACCCTCTGGAACTCGCGCTGGCTTACGTCGGCCGCATTGCGTCGGAATGCGCATCGTGACGATATCGTGGGCGAACTGCTGCCGCGCGTCGATCATGTTGTGCTCGGTCTTGGCGCGCTCCTCGACGGCTGCTATTTCGTCGTCCTGCGGTCGGTGAGCACCTGCATGAAGCGCGGCAGCTTCGAGTCCTGAACGAGCGTGAGCTTGAAGAACATTGGCACCGGGTCTTCGGTCAGGTCTACCGTGTTGCCGTAGGTCTTGCTCATCTTGCGACCGTCCAGCCCTTCGAGGAGCTGCGTGGTGAGCACGTGCTTGGTCTTGCCCAGATACGCTTCCACGAGATCGCGGCCCCGCATCATATTGAAGAGTTGGTCGGACCCGCCAAGCTCTGCGTCCACCTCCATCGCCACGGAGTCGTACCCCTGCAGGATGGGGTAGATCATCTCGTTGAGGTACAGGCCTCCTGCTTCTTTATGCGCTCCTGAACATGCTGCGTTCGAGAAGCTGCTGGACGGTGAACTTGTCCATGATCTCGATGAACTCCGCGAGGGTGATTTCGTCGAGCCACCGTGAGTTGTACTGAATCTGCGCGGGGTTCTCGCCATCGAGATCGAGATCCTTGAGAACTGCTCGGCGTACGTCTCGGCGTTTGCTAGAACCTGCGCGTGCGTGAGCCGCTGCGGGCTTCCGGGCGGTCGGACGGGTCGCCGATGCGTCCGGTAAAGTCGCCAATCAGGAGAATGACGTGATGGCCGTGAAGCTGGAACCAGCGCAGGACACGCAACCCCACCAGGTGGCCGATGTGCATGTTGGGACTTGTCGGGTCGAGCCCCTGGTAGATGGTGAGCCGCTTGCCGTTGCGATGTCGTCGAACAGTTCGTCGCGGACGATGGCGTCATCGAGCATCCCCCGGTCGAAGAGCGTTTGCAGGTCCCAATCTTCATGTCGATTCTCCCCGGTCCGCGTGTCGGCGAATCGGCGTCTAGTTTACTACCACGCGCTTGCGCAGTGCGTCGGTCCCACGGAGATACTGGAACTCGATCTCCGAGGCTTCCGGTCGGTGTTGACGAGGAGCATGACGCGGATGACGCGCTGCATGGCATTCGGCACCTTCATTTCGTGGGCGCACGAGGAGGGCAACGTACTGCCAGCCAAGCTGTCGGGCAGCAGCAGCGGGAAACTCGCATTCAGGTCCTGGGTCGTCGTGAAGTACGCCGCCGCTATGTCGTCGACGTCGACGTCGTTCGACTCGACCATGCCGTGAGCAACTCGACGGTGGCTTCCGAGAATGGCCTGCTGGGTGTTGTCATCGGCGATGGTCGCGCCGCGAATGCCTCGTATCTTTGCCATGGGTCCTATTGCGTAGAAAGTAGAAAGTAGTGCGTAGAAAGTAGTGCTGGAAGCAGGATCAGGAAATTCCTTTCAGTCCTTTTACGAAGTCGACTGCGGCCTGAACTTTCCGGTCGGCTGGGGCGTTTTCGATGGCGTCGAACATGGCGCTGGCGACGATGGCCCCGTCGGCGTAGGTCGCGATGGCGTCGATATGCTCCTTGCTCGATACACCGAACCCCTGGATGACCGGCACGTCGGTATATGGCGCTTGACGCGGCCGACGAGGTCGGCTACGTCGTGCGGATATTCTGACGGGCGCGCCCGTCACCCCAAGACGGCGACGCAGTAGATGAAGCCGCTTGCGTGGCCGCATATGTATTCGATGCGCCGGTCGGTGCTCGTAAGTGAGACGAAGTGAATCTGTTGGATGTTGTTGGCGGCGCAGAGGGCCTGCAACTCGGACGACTCTCGGCGGGAGATCGGGGACGATCAGCCCATCGACGCCGGCGTCGACAGCGTCGCGCACGAGGTCTGGCAGGCCGTACTTGAGGAACGGGTTGAAGTAGCCCATCAGCATGAGCGAGACTCGATGCCGTTCGAACGGAGCTGCCGGACGGCATCGATGCACGTCTCGACGGTGACACCTTGCTGCAGGGCGTGAAAGCTCGTCTTCTGGACGGTGGGGCCATCGGCGACGGGATCGCTGAAGGGGACACCGACTTCCAGCAGGTCGCCGCCGTTCCGCAGGACGGCCTCGGCGATCTCGATGGAGGTCGGAACGTCGGGGAATCCTACCGTGACGTAGGGGAAGGATGGTCCTGCCCTCGGCGCGGGCATTGCGGAGCGTTTGGTCGAGTCGATTTGAGACGGTCATACGGCGAATGTCACGGCGATGCTGTTTTGGCCCGCATGGGCAAGGAAGCCGGCCCAATCGAGCGTGTTCTGAGATACAGCCAGGAGAGGATGGCCCCGCTGACGAACGTCGGCAGTAGGACGGTGAGGTCGCCGTGCGCGACGGCGAATATCGCGGATGCCACGATCATACCGGGGACCACGCCGATGCCCTGCACGAAGGCCGAAAGCAGGAATCCGCGGAAGAAGACCTCCTCGGCAGCCGGTCCAACGACGACGAGAATGCCGACGGTGAACGCCCGAAGGACTCCCTCACCCAAGAGCCGTTCGGGCACCGGGGACGGCTCCAGCGAATCAATCCCCAAGCTCGTCACAATGACTTGGTAGACAAGGCCGGCGACTATGCTCAGGCCGAGCGCCAGTGCGGCCCAACCGACGATCTTGGGCCAACGGAGACCGCTTGTCCACAGTCCCAGACTGCTCAGACCCGCGCCACGCCACTTGACGGCGAGGAGCCAGACCGTCCCGACCATGAGCACCTGGAGCAGGAACAGACAGCACGGTGCAGCACGTCTGCTGGCTCTGGGCCAAGGACGATCCGAGCGCAGTCGCCCAGGTGCGCAGCACGACGCCATCTGCCGCAAGCGACGATGCGAAGCCGATCATGGCGTCGGTGATGCCCCATGGGACGCTGAGGCGTCGGAGGGTTCGCCAGGACTCTGTTGGAGGCTTGAGATCGGTCATTTCGAGTTGTGGGAGTGTATCACAGCTACCGATTGGCCGTGTCGTTCGCGATTCCGGGAACGAACCGTCACGCCTAGCGCGAGTCCTTGCTCCCAGCGCTATCGATGCCAGCCTGAGCAGGTCTTCGGTCTCCTGCCAGCCGATGCAGGGGTCGGTAATGGAGACCCCGTACTCCTCGAGCTTGGAGAAGTCGCCGTTGATCTTCTGGCTGCCCGGGTTGATGTTGCTTTCGAGCATCACGCCGATGATCCCGGCGTTTCCGTCCACCCGCTGCTCGACGACGCTCTCGAAGGCCTCGTGCATCTTGGTATGGTCCTTGTCGCAGTTTCCGTGGCTGCAATCGCGAGGAGATGGGGCGCGCCCCCGTCGGCAAGCTGCTGTCGGGCCATGGCCACTGAGTCGGGATCGAAGTTCGGGCGTCGTTGGCGCCGCGCAGGACCAGGTGACCGAAGGGATTGCCCGCCGTGTGGATTACTGCAGTGCGTCCGACTGGTCGATGCCGAGAAAACCGTGACGCGCCTGGGCCGACACTATGGCGTCGACGGCGATCTTGGTGCTGCCGTCGGTGCCGTTCTTGAAGCCGACGGCATACTGAGGCCGCTGGCCATCTGGCGGTGGTCTGGCTCTCTGTCGTGCGCGCGCCGATTGCCACCCAGCTAATCAGGTCGGCCAGGTACTGCGGCACGATCTGATCTGCGAACTCTGTCGCCTGCGTGTAGGCCCCATCTCGGCGACGTCGAGCAGACGTTTCTGTTCTGCCCTTCTGCAGCCCGGTTGTGATGTCGAAGGTGTCGTTGAGATGCGATCGTACAGAAGACCCTTCCAGCCGACGGTCGTCCGCGGCTCCTCATCTCGAAGAAGACCGCATGACGACAAGCAGCCGGTCGGCGAATTTCTCGCCCAAGTCGTGCAGACGACGCGCGTATTCGAGGGCGGCGTCCTCATCGTGGATCGAGCACGGCCCTACGATCACGAGGAATCGCGAGTCCTCTCCATTGAGAATCGCCTGGATCGCGCGTCGTCCTTCAACGACCGTGTCGCTTGACGGCGGTGGTCGTCGGCAGGTCCTCGATGAGGTCCGCCGGAGGTATGAGCTTCTCCGTCTTCAACACGTTCACGTCCCTTGTCTGAGCCTCTAGCATTCGTGTGCTCCTTCACGCATGAAAAGACCCCAACCGCTGCCGGTTGAGGTCTCGGTGTCTTCGCTGGGGATGCTTGTCGCTCTACGTCCCGCGCACCTGTCCTTCTCCGGCAGCCGTTGGGCCGGTAAAGTAGAAATAGTAGTACGCGTAACGGTTGAAACTCGCATCTCGCAATCTACTGTAAAGGTGACGGAGAGCCTGTGTCAAGGTTGCATTCGGTCAATTCGGTGCGTCATACTGCCACGTGCCGAGGATTCACCGCAGAGGACGCAGAGAGCGCGGAGAGGAAGAAAGTAGAAAGTGGTGAGTATGGGGCGAAGGCGATGACTCTAGATTCCTCACTCCGCTACGCTACGCTCGGAATGACAGGTTTGGGGACGTTGCGGGTTATTTTCATAGTTATGGCGAATCCTCGGTGTAGTTACAACGAATCGGTATTGTTCCATAAGGGCAGTGATGGACGACTCTCCTGGACAGAGGAAGAGCAGCTTCTTCGTACGCACGGTACGGGCATTGCCGACGGCGTGCTCGCGCCGAGGGCCTCGGCGTACGACCAGAGCGGCGATTTCCCGGCTGACAACATAGAGGGTTTGGCCGAACTTGGGCTGTTCGGGTTGGGCATCGACGAAGCGTACGGAGGGAGCGGAGGCACGGCGCGCCAGGGGGCCATCGTTGCCGAGGAACTTGCGCGAGGATGCACGGCCACGAGCACGGTGTACGTGGCGCACCAGTCCCTCGCCGCCCAGTTCATCATATGCACGGAACTGCGGAGCACAAGAACCGGTACCTTCCGAGTATGACGGCGGGGCGGACGATTGGAGCGTTCGCGCTCACGGAGCCGGGCGCGGGCAGCGACGCGGCCGGCATTCGCACGACGGCCAGCGGGACGGCGACGACTACGTCCTGAACGGGTCGAAGGTGTTCATCACGAACGCGACGGAGGCCGGTGTGCTCATCGTGCTGGCATCCCTCGATCTCAGCCTTGGGTCGCGCGGCTTTGTCGCCCTGATCGTCGACGGCGACACGCCCGGAATGACCATCAATCCCATGCACGGCAAGATGGGCATACGGGCATCTTCCACGTGCGAGGTGTTCTTCGACGACTGTCGGGTGCCCGTGACCAACCGGATGAGCGAGGAGAACGAGGGATTCAAGGCCACGATGGAGGTGCTGAACGCCAGCCGGATCGGCATAGCAGCCCAGGCGGTCGGCGTGGCGCAGGCGGCATTCGAGCAGGCGGTCGAGTACGCGAAACAGAGGAAGGTGTTCGGTAAGACCATCTCCGAGATGCAGGGTATCCAGTGGATGATCGCCGACATGGCGACAGAGGTGGAGGCCGCGCGGCTGCTGGTTATGCAGGCGGCGACGCTCCTCGACGCCGGCAGGCCGTTCGTGAAGGAAGCGTCGATGGCGAAGCTTTTCGCGTCGCGCGTCGCGGTCGAGACGGCGGACAAGGCCGTTCAGATACACGGCGGCGTCGGGTACTTCTCACCCTCGACGGTGGAGCGCCTGTACCGC